ATCGCCTGCTTCGCATCCTGTCTTCCCTGTGATCGATACCGACTCGTTTCCGTCCCTGCGACCGCCTGCCGACACCCCTTCCCTATTCTCCCATCCCCTGTGCTCGTTTCCCTGCCCGCCAGCCCGCCCAGCTCAGCACATTCGAGACGCAATGCTGAACAAAACACATTCAGCAGCCATGCTGCAGCCATGCTGCAACCAGAGCGGCAATGCAGGCTGCGGCATGGCCGCCGCTGCCCGGCCCCGCCGCAACTCCGCGCCTTGCACCACTGTCAGCAGGGGCCGCAGCGCGGTCGTGGTGCATGCAATGGGGACATCCACCCCCCAGCAGCAGGTGGGTGGCATGTGGCTCCCTTCCGCACCTCTGGGCTGCGAAGATCGGTGCGTTGCGGGCAACCAGCGAGGGAGTGTCGGAGAACAGAGCCGAAAGCAGCGCCGCACACAACGTGAACAACCCCCGTCACTCTGCAGGACGCCGGCTCGCTGGACGTGTCGGGGGCGGTGGTGCAGCCGTCGTTCCGGCAGACGCCCTGGGCTGCAGAGGCCGCGGTGGCGGCGGCCGGCGGCGACCGCGCCGCCGCCCGCATCGCCTTTGTCTCAGAGTCAGGCACCTGCCGCTGCGTGCTGGCGGCGGCGGCTTTCCGGGCCGCGCTGGCAGCCCGCGACCCGCGGCTGGCTGGGCTGGTGGAGGTGGAGTGCCGCGCCACGAAAGACTACTGCCTGGGCGACGGCCCCGAGCTGCTGGCGGCGCGCGTAGCCAGCGAGCTGGGGCTGGAGCTGGCGCAGGGGTATGCGGCGCAGCAGTTCAAGGAGAGCCGCGACATTGTGGACTTTGATGTGGTGCTGGTGATGGACAAGTTCACAGCTGCCGACGTGCTGCGGGAGGTGGGCGGGCACCCACGCGCCAGGCCCATGCCGTGCCCAGCCCATACTGCTCGCCGCGCCTGCCCGCCGCACCGGCGGCGTGTGCCTCTGCCAGCACGCGCGCCGCGTCCCGCTCGCGGCCCCGGCCTGCGATGCCAAGCTGAGGGCAGGCTGGCGGGCACGCTGAGGGCAGGCAGGCGGGCTGGCCAGCGGGCTGCCGGGGGCGCGCATGGCAGGCGAGGGGCCCGCCCGATCCCTGCACTGTGCACCCCTCTTGTGCGCTCCGCCCCCGGCGCAGGTGTCGGTGTTTGACACCATCAAGACGTGGGGAAAGGCCAACTACAGCAGCAAGGTGCGGCGGCTGGGCGAGTTCAACCCGGCTGCCGCCTCGGCAGCTGCCAAGAAGGATCTGGGGGGCGCGGACATCCAGGACGCCCTGTATGGTGAGAGCTGTACTGCGAGAGCTGTACCGCGCGCGGGAAGCGGCAGGGCTGGGGTTCAGGGAAGGCGGCCGCCGGAGCGTAGGGGACTCGGCGGGGCTGGAGTGCAGCATTGTTTTTTGTGAGGCCGGCCGGCGCCAAGCCCAGCACAGCAGCGCCATCTCGCTGCTGCTCTTGCTGCCTCGCGGGGCCACAACCTCACAGCCCTTGTTCTGCCTCTGCTGTGCTGCGCTATAGGCAACGTGGGAGGCGAGGAGGAGCTGGAGGCGGTGCGGCAGGCGGCTGCGGCAATCCAGCAGAGCTGCGACGGCCTCGCCGACTTCCTGGTGACGGTGGACCAGCGGCACCAGCAGCAGCAGCAGCAGGCGCAGCAGGGCGCGGATGGCGACGCAGGCGCGGGCGGAGAGGCGGGCGCACTGGCGGCCAGCGGCAGGCTGGGCGACAGCCTGACGGCGGCGGTGCGGGAGCTGGAGGCGATGGACTGGCTTGTGCCGCCCATGCTGCAGGCCCGCTGAAGCTGCAAACGAAGCTAATACAAATGAACCTGATCTCCACGCCGTGCTCGGTTTCCAGAACCTCAGCTTCCTGTCCTCAGCTTCCTGCCCCCTATCAGCCTCCCTTCTGCAAACTTCTCCTTCATGCATGCATGTTACAGTCTTTGTACAGTGTACGGGTATGTATCTATGTGTGAAACGTGACGAGAAACAAGCTAAGGGAGGGGGGCAAAACTTGGGTGCACGCCGCGGCATGCAGCGACGCGCAATTGGAAAAAAATGGCGAGGGGGGACATTGCGCAATCAAGGGGTGAGGTTCATCACAAAGCTACAAGGGGTTCCGTTGACAAAAGCATTTATTGGGTGGCAGTGGGCGTCCTGAGCTAACCCTTCCTGGCCTTGGCTGCACGCCCTAAAACTGGGCAGCTTCGGTGGACCCCTTGAGCGCAGTGGTGGAACTGAGGCCGCCAGACACTATCTCGGACACAGCATCAAAGTACCCGGTCGCTGCCTCGCGCTGGTGGCGCACGCCTGCGGGGTAGACGAGGGCAGGTGGGAGGTGGGCAGGCCGCCGTGCAGCGGCAAGGCAGGCCGGCAGCGGCAGCCGCACTCGCGGCCGGCGCCAGCGGGCGGGCAGGCTGGCTGCCCCGCCTCTTCCCCACCACCGCCATCACGGGCCCTCCCCTCCCCGCTCACATGTGTAGCCGTCCTTCTCGCGCGCAAACTCGCGCTGCTGCAGCTCGGAGTAGGCGGCCATGCCGCGGTCGCGGTAGCCGGCGGCCAGGTCGAACATGGAATAGTTGAGGGCGTGGTAGCCTGGGCAGGAGGGAGGGCGGGAGGGAGCGGGAGACGATAATGGGTAGGGGAGGAGGGAGAGGAGCGGGATGAGGAGGGGCCGGCACACGCTCGAGCTTGGCGCCCATGGCGCTCATCATGCCGCGCAGGAAGCAGCAGGCGCCCACAGAAGCCTGTGTGGCGCTGCCCCAGCAGGCAGCCTGGCAGCCCGCGCAGGACGGAACTCTCTCCGCTGTTCACGCACAGGCTTCCACTGCGAAGCCCGCGGCCCACCTGCCAGCGTCACAAACTGGAACTTGTACCCCATCTTGCCCAGCTCCTGCTGGAACGTGGCGATCTGCTCCTTGCTCAGGTTCTTCTCCCAGTTGAAGGAGGGGGAGCAGTTGTAGGCCAGCATCTTGCCGGGGTACTTGGCGTGGATGCCCTCTGCGGTGCGGGGAGCGTGTGTGGGGGGGAGTGGCATGGGTCGGATGGGAGGGGAGGTGTGGCAAGTGGCGAACACATGCCATTTGACAGAGGAGCGGGAGGTTCAGGGAGTGGCCGGCCGCGAGGAGAGCGCGAGTGGCAGGGCAGGGTCTGATGGCCAAGTCGCGCCGAGGATGCCGTGCTCCAGTGCCGCTGACAGGCTCGAGCCAGTTCTCCTGCCTTCAAGCAAAGGAGATGCCACCCACCCGCAAACTCGCGCGCCTCTTCCATGTCGGGCGTGGAGGTCTCGCACCAGATGAGGTCGGCGTAGGGCGCATAGGCCAGGCCGCGCGCGATGGCCAGCTGCGGCAGGCGTTGGGGCGCGGGCAGCGGGCCAGACACGCCGGTGAGGTGCGGGGTGCGCCAAGCGCCGGCGACAGGCAGCAGGCGAGGGCGTGCCTCAAAGCGCACGCTCCAGCACCAAGCACGGCAGGCACAGCAGGAACCACACACTTTGGCCGCGCACCTTGACCCCGCAGTTGACGTAAAAGAAGCCCTCGGGCGTGCGCTTGCCGGTGCAGAACGGCTTGTCCGCGTCGTCGATGTCGCTCGTCAGCAGGTTGGCGGAGTGTGCGTCGGTGCGCGCAATCAGCACGGTGGGCGTGCCCGCCACGTCGGCCGCCAGGCGGGCTGCGCGGGGAGGCGGGAAGGGCAGGGAACATAGCCCAGACAGTTGAGAGGCTTGGGCAGGCATGTTATGCACGCTACCACGGCATGCGGCCAGAACCGACAGCAGCGAAGGCAGGCTGCACGGCGCGAGTTGCGACGTGCGTGCCGGCCTCTTTTCAGAGTGTCAGTCTTCTTTCTCCTTTCCTAAACCCTAAAAAGCCTTCTTTCACTCACCCGCAATGAGGTTGCGCACCGCCGACTGCGTAGGCACCAGCACCTTGCCGCCCAGGTGCCCGCACTTCTTCTCGCTCGAAAGCTGGTCCTCAAAGTGAACTGCAGTGGTTGGGGGTTGAGGCAGCGCCGCCAGGGGTTGGCGATGAGCAAGAGGCAGAGAACGGGGATGCGAGCGGGAGGGCAGGCAGCCGAGCAGGCGGTACGAGCGGGCAGGGCAGCCCTGGCTGGCCTCACCTCCTGCCGCGCCAGACTCAATCAGGTGCTTGGTGAGCTCGTACGCGTTCAGCGGGCCGCCGAAGCCGGCCTCTGCGTCTGCCACGATGGGCAGGAAGTAGTCTCGCGTGACCTTGCCCTCCGCATACTCAATCTGGTCGGCGCGCTGGAGCGCCTGCAGGGGCAGGGGCAGGGGAGGAGGCGCAGGACAGGCGGGCGTGGAGGTCGGTTTCGGGGCGAGGGAGGAGCAGGCCCCGGCCTCAGCCTCGCTGGCCGCGTTCCGGCGCCTCCCCGCTCGGTACCGTCCCCGGGGAGCGTGGCATAAAAACACACACACACCCGTGCGCTCCGCCTGGCTCACGTTGTTGATGCGCTTGACCAGCGCCGGCACGGAGTTGACTGGGTAGAGGGACTGGTCGGGGTAGGTGGCGCCGGCGGTGTTGGTCTCCGCAGCCACCTGCCAGCCCGACAGGTAGATGGCCTTCAGGCCCGCCTTGGCCATCTGGACGGCCTGCAGGGCGGGGCAGGGGAGAGGGGGCAGGGTCGTGCAAGGGGAGCCACGAGGTAGGCCGCCGAGGCTTGCGGCGGCATGGCAAGCTGTGAAAGACGGCCTCCGGCGGGACGTGTTGCCTGGGCGCAGAGCTGCCACGGCAGCCGCTCCCCACAGGGCCCACCTGGTTGCCGGACAGGGCGCCCAGGGCGTGGACGTAGGGCTCGTTCTTGAGCAGCTCCCACAGCTTCTCCGCGCCGCGCTGCGCCAGCGTCTGCTGCACGTGCACGCTGCCGCGCAGGCGCTGCACATCCTGCTCGGTGTACGGCCGGGTGACGCCCTCGTAGCGGCCGGCGGGGGCCTTCACATCAGCGAAGCTCATGGCCTGCGGAGGAAGAGGGGGTGGTGAGGGCAGGAGGAGGGTGCGGGGAGGGTGAGTCGCGAGCGGCGGCAGGCAGCGGCGGCAGCGTGAGCTCAACCCCCAGCAAACTGAAGGGGCGGTTTCGGGGCATGCAGCCCTGACTCAGGCTTGCTCCCCGGGGCAGCGGGGTGGCTGATGCCCGAGATGAGCGGGCCCGGTGAGAGTTAGTCACGGCCATCTTGGGTCTCATGCCCAGGGGCGCGGCCAGCCCAATGCGGTGTCGGGGGGCGGCGAGGCGGGCGGTGCAGGGCCCCAGGGGTGTGCACAGGCAGTGGCAGGCTTTGGGTTCGCTTACTGTGCGTGTGTGGGTTGACAGCGGTCCAAGCGAAGTGGGTGGGCGGGTGAGCGAGACCTGGACGGGCACCCAAGAGAAACGCTGATGGTGAAACAAGGCCGGTGGCAAAGCACGATTAGCAAATGGGAGGGGCACAGTGGGGCGGTACAGAAAGCAGGACACACACCAGATTTTATCACCTGCTGGTGATCAGAGCTGCAAATAACAGCCAAATTGTGTCGGGTGCCCAGCCCATCATGCAGGGCACCTTCATGCACGCTTTGAGATGCTTCATGTAATCTTTGGTTAGTCATTTCACGTACAGGAACATCTCATTGCGCATGGGCATCCCATTGCGCATGGGCATCCAGGCTTACAGCAATTGGAGTGCGCATCGCATGTCGCTCATGCAACCAGGCATGTGCCCGGCCGCTCCGCATGTGCTGGCATGTGGCAAGGCGCTTGAAGGCTGCGCCAAGCGCCGAGCTGCACCTGCCATCCATTCAAGCGACTACTGTTACAGAGGGGCGCTGCACATGGGGGAACCTGTTGGCTCCATGGTAAACACTAGGCTATCAAAGGTTGCATGTGATGGGCGGTCAAAATGGGGGAGCACAGCATGGCAAGCATTTGGAAAAGAAATGGGGGGAAAATTGAAATGATGAGAGACATATCTAGGGCAGCAGGGGAGGGGAGCCAGAGAGGGAAGCGCGATGTCAACATGCAAAGGAGAAACAGCAAGGCAAGTGTTGGGCACGCGGCGGGAAGATGGGAGCATCTTACTGGGTCGGCGGAAGCGGGGCCAGCAGAGCAGCACAACAGGAGAGACACAACTCAAAAACTACCCCTGCTTAGACCGGGGCGTCCACGCTGTTTGGTCCGGAAGGTCGGGCTAAACCAGGGCAGCACGCCGCTGGCGTTCTATGTAGCCAGTTATCTGATCAGACACCGACCACACTATCGCTTGACCAGGAGGGGTTCGTGCCAGCCGCGGGATGAGCCCCTTCCACAGGGCCGCAAGGCCCTCCGTCCGGGCGATGGTCGTGAGGCAGTTGAAGAAGCCGGTGTACTGCGGGCCGCCCTTGTTGGATGCTTGCCTGCAGGCACCACCGCACACGCGACGGAATCAGCACAGCACGGAACACGCAGGCACTGCACAGCTAGAAGAGCAAACAGGCACACTGGGACTGAGTCGTCACGTGGCGGCGGGCGGCGGGCGCCTCACATGCGCGTCTTCACGACATCAAAGGGGTTGTTCAGCGTGGGGCCGATGCAGGCGGCCACAAAGCCCGACGTTGCAGACTGCACGGGGGACAGCAGCTTGCCGTCGCCCTCCTGCAGCAGGTACATGGTGGGGGGAGGGAGGCATGGCAGGTCAGCGGCTGCCCATGCGCAGCCCGGATGATGCAGCACACGCTGCCGCGCAGGCGGCGCAGCCCAGCTGCCAAGCAGCGCAGGGCGTGTGTTCCACCCTCCTCCAGCTCACGTGCTTGTCGAAGAAGATTCCGTCGCACACCGCCTTGCCCCAGAACAGGCTCATCTGGTTGCTGCCCTGCCGGATGGTGGTGGCGGTGGCGCCGCTCCACAGCTTCATCACGCCCTCCTCCCGCGCCACTGTCATTGCCGTGTGCACAGGGCCCTGCAGGCAGGCAGGGCGGGAGCAGCAGCAGGGCCAGCCACTGTGAGCAGCAAGACGAGGCAGCCTGGCACCGCCGGCATCTGCGCTGCGGCAGGACGACCGCACCTGTCCATGTGCCGCGCTGCACCCATCGCCCTGCCTGCCGCCAGGCCGCCACTCACCCGGTACTTGAGCAGCGCCTTGTCGGTGCCCTTCTGCTGCTGCAGCCGCGTCTTCACCACCTCAAACGGAGTCACAATCAACAGCGCCTCGCTCACGCCCGCGCCAAGGCCAGCCGTCAGCCGCGCGCCCTGAGACAGCTTGCCCTCCTGCAGCCAGGAGCACGGGGCCGGGCCGGCCCACGCTGTCGGCACGCCAGCAGGTAGACAGTGTAAAGTCGACCAGGCTGCTGCACAGGCCAGGCTGGCAACCACAGCAACCGGCCCAGCCGGCCTGCGGGCCCACCTCATCTCGCATCAGCTCCAGGAAGAAAGCATTGGAGCCCATGCGCAGCGCGTACTTGAGCGTCAGCTGCCCCACGAATGGCGTCAGCCCCTTCCACAGGCTCTTGATGCCCTCCTCCTGCGCAATCGTGCGGCCGCAGTGGATCATGCCTGCAGGGGCGCGGGGTGGGGAGCGCAGGGATGGTCCAGAGGGTGGGTGTGAGTAGGTGAGTACTGGCCAGGGCAGGCTGCCATGAGGTAGCGAGGAGAGGCCGCCAGCGCCCAGCAGCGGGCGAGGCGCAGGCATGTGGCGCACCCTTGTAATGCCCCGAATGGTCCAGCTGTAGGCGCGTCTTCATCACGTCGATGGGCTGCAGCATGCATGCCTCCACCACGCCACCGATGGAGCCGGCCACCGCCTTGACCGTGGGGCTGACCTGCGAGGCATGGGCCGGGCGAGGGGGAGAGGAGTCAGAAGGTGAGGACCGATGCAAATATGGGCAAGGTCTGGAGGCAGGGATCAGGGAGAGCAGCATGTTCCTGCTGTCTGGTCTGCAGGATGCACGAGGGATGGGTGCATGCCAGGCGCGGCTGGAGACGAGGGCATGCTGCAGGGCTGCAGGGCCTGGGCGCCTCACCGTCACAATTCTGACATTCTGGTCCCCGTTCTGGGAGTTCTTCACGCTCGCCATGGCTGCTGCTGCTGCTGGCCTGCTGGCTGCGCTGGCCGGCGGGTCTGCCACGGACTGTGGAGACGGGGGTGGTGCAGGGTGTGAGGTGCGGCAGTTTTGACCGACGTGAATGCTCAGCGGGGTACAGGCCTGCATGGCAGAGGCGCTAAAGGGTGGTTGAGTGGCCTGAAATGTCAAAGATAATCGCGGGATGGGCCTTGCAGCAGCGCAGGGGCTGTGCAGGGGCATGGGCCCTCTGGAGCGCGGTGGCGGCGGGCGAGCGGCGGCAGGCAGCAGGCACCCAGATGTGGTGCGCCACACCCCCAGCCGCAACCGCGGGGCCCACTGATATCCGGTAGCACCACCAAGGCTTTCTGGCTGCAATGCTCCGTCTCGGAGCGAGCAGGAGGCCCCGCGGCTGAGCCGCTCAATCTAGTGCCTTCAACCGCGGCGCCCCAGGGGCTGGCTCCCCCATTTTCATGCCGTGCTGGAGTCCCAGAGGCGGACAGTGCGTGGCGGGGAGGCAGCAGCTCGGGTTCATGGAACGGGCATCCTGGGCGGCCTGACTAAACTCACCGCAAGGCTTTGCGGGCTGGCAGAGCGTCGGCGTGCTCCACTCACAATCCCAGCAGACCAGGGAACAGCGCAGAATGCCGAGAGAACGCTGCAGCAGGCATCAACCACCAATGACGAAAAACAAGGTCTTGGAAAGTCGCGCCCAAAGAAACAGGTTACCCAATTTATCCGTTTATGCATCAGCAGCGCTCCCTGAAGTGTGAGGAGGGTCTGGGGGGAAGCAGAGTATAGGGATGGAACACACATGTCATGGCGTTAGCCTTGAGCTCAAGCAAGGTGCGGTAGGCATGGGGGGGCATGGGAGCCCCAGACAAGCAGGATGAACCGGCGCGAGCTAGATGCAAGCTGCCGCCTGCCTGCGCTGGGGCCTAGCTGCAGGCGCCGCCGCCAAGGGCGCCCTGGTGCTAATGGCGGTATGCCAGGGGGGTACGCATTTACAGAGGGAGACAGAATGTGCTGAGGCACAGTCGAGTATCAACGTGGCTCAAAGGCCACCAGCGAGGGGGGGGGAGGCGGCAGCGCCCTTTGACGCGTGGCACGGCAGCGCGGCTCAAAACAGGTGCCGCCAAAATTCCACCTTCAAAGTGCAGTCTGGTTCAGAGAGCTGCGCTAAGTCCGCTAAGTTGATATTATGAGGGGGTCGGTTGTGGGGGTCAATCAGAGGGTTCGGCAACAGGGAGGGACTGCCGGCAGTCGGGGCACGAGGCCTCTGGCTGGGCCGGCAGTTGGCAGCGGCGTGGCCGGCTGCTTACTGGCACTGGAAGGGCTGGAACTTGCAAGCGGTGCCAGCAATCTTGACCACTGCAGGGCAGGGGCAGGCAGGTGTAGTAAGGGCACGCCTCGACCAATGCCATGCTGCTCACGTGCTGACGAGGCAGCAGGAGCGTGTGAGCAGCCTGCCACCTCACCGCCTGCCAGGCCTGCAGGCTCGCTCTGGATGCCCACTGCCTTCAGCGTTTGGGACAGGGATGACTCGCAGCCGCAGCCGGCGGTGTCAAACTGCGGGGCAGGAACAACAGAGACGTACACGCTTGCATAGTGTGGTTCAAATGGCAGTGGCAGGCCCAGCAGCAGGTCGTGCAGGCAGGTCTCGGAAGCAGCCTCACCTTCTGGACGGCAGCACAGCATGGTGCGCTGGGCAGTCCCGCCGGCAGGCCGGAGATGACAGACTGGACCTGCAGGCATGGGGCGGCCATCGTGTCAGGCAGGTGCCAGAGCCGGTTCCCACACAGCAGGCTGGGAGCGCTGCGCAACCGCTCAGCGTGCCGCCAGCTGCCGGCACCTTGGCATCATCCGGTGGAGAGGTGGAGGTGAGAGGGAACTGATCAGGCTGGTTGAGATACTCCCTGCAGCAGAGAATAGTGCAAGCGGCTGTCAATCCGGCCTAACACATCCAATACACCGGGGTCGGCAGCCGCCCTGCGGCGCCGCCCACTCACAGCTCCGCCGAGCAGGCGTTCAGCATGGGCCCCCCAAGTGGGATGCACGTCTGGATCCGGTTCTGGGCAGCCACTGCAGCAGAGGAACAGGGGAGCCTCCCCTGAGGCTGGGAGCAGACGACACCCCAATCCTCCTGTCGAGCCCACCAAACCCTTGCAGGCCTGCCCTCTCCCCTGGCCTGCTCAGCCCTCCCGGCCCAGCAGAGCAAGACAAGGTTGCTGGGAGCTGCGTTGCACGCTCACCCGAGGCCACGCCCAGCAGCAGCAGGAGCAGGTGTGCGAAGGAAGCCATGGGGCCTGTGTTGGTGCTTGCCAGGGAGAAGGAAGGGGAAGGGCGATAGGAGACGGGGAGGGAAGCAGGCACATGGAGATTTGGTGGGTGAGTAGGCGGCACCCAGCTGGCGCGGCCGCATTGCTGTGGGCCAAACGATCCTTGATGCTGAAATGTTTGTCTAATGGCAGCTCACTGTAGCCCGGGGGCTGGTGCTGTACAACAACAGCTTGGATCGCTGGCGTGCAGGCACGGGGTGCGCATGCTGGTCGACGGGGAGCTGCAACAGGCGTGCACAGAGCAGGGAGAGGGAACTCCCATAGATCCCCACAGCATGCTACGATGCAGGCGCCAGGCAAGTTTCCACGACCGCAGCCATGCCCATGCAGCCTGGGACCGGATTCAGTCTGGAGCGGCCAGTTCGCCGCCGCCGCCGCATGTCAGACATGCCACCCAGGGGGCGAGCCGCTGGCGAGCCAGCCGGCGGTGCAATGGGTTCAGGCAGCCTCTGAGAGCGCATGCACTTGGTCAGCCTCACTCTCTCTCCTCCCGCCCGCCCTGCCACGCCACGACTGCCAGGTGGGTTGTTTCAGTGGATCATCATTTAGACCCCATCGCGCGCTAGCCAGGTGCAGGTTGCCATCAGCATCGCGGGAGAGGGCGGCTGCGCCGGCGCATGCAGCATCGCAGTTGAGCGGGCCCAACCCATAGCTTTGAGGCACTAGGGGCTGCCCAGGGCGATGCTGAGGGGAGGTGGACAGGGCCTGAAGGCCTTGGGCCTCATCCGCAGCGCGCTTGCCGGCGATGTGGCGGCGCTGAGCTTCACAAGCAGCGGCCGGCCTGCTGCAGCGGCCCTGCTGGGCAGCAGCGAGGTGCAGTCCGGCTGGGGCAGGCTGTATGCGGCGCTGCCGGCGGGGGTGACGGAGGAGGACAAGGCGGCACTGACCGACGTGCGCAACATTGGCATCTCCGCCCACATTGACAGCGGCAAGACCACGCTCACCGAGCGGATCCTGTTCTACACGGGGCGCATCCACGCCATCCACGAGGTGCTTTCAGTTGTGGGAGCGGGGGCCTCGCTGGCATTGCCGCTGCTGGGGTGTTGCCGCCTCTGCCGCCGCTGCCCGCCGCCACTGTCTGTAAAGAGCACTATGTTTGGCTGCATGCATTGCGCGGGTGGGTGCATGGACGGTGGCGCACCACCTTGCCCCAATGCCCCGGCTGCAAAACCCACCGGGGCATTGCCCTGCCTGCACCTACATTTTCGGCTACCACCCGCCTGTCGCTGACACACCTCTGCCGCCGCTGCCCTCAACGGCTGCAGGTGCGCGGCAAGGACGGGGTGGGGGCCAAGATGGACAGCATGGATCTGGAGCGGGAGAAGGGCATCACGATCCAGTCGGCGGCCACCTTCTGCCGGTGGAAGGACACGCACATCAACATTATCGACACCCCCGGCCACGTGGACTTCACGATTGAGGTGCGTACTGCCGTGCTTCACCTGTGTACTGCCAATATGAGCTGTACTATTTACCCGGGGGGGTGCTGCGTACTGCCGGGGGTTTGCTGCATGCTGCAGGCATGACCTGCACTGTACTGCCAGGGGTGTGGGGGCGGCCCACGGCTGGGCGGTTGGTTGGCGCTATGGAGTGACAGCGGCAGGAGCGCCGGCGTGTATTGGCGCGCTGGAGCCAGTTTTTGTTGGGTGGTTGGGAGCGGCAGGGCGGTCCGGTGGGCAGCACCGGCCGCGGCGGTGGTTGATCCCCTGAGCTGTTGCGTCTCTGCCGCTCTGCCGTTGCAGGTGGAGCGAGCCCTGCGTGTGCTTGATGGCGCCATCCTGGTGCTGTGCAGGTGCGGCTGTTCATCAGCTGCTGCCAGTTCCCCGCTCGGCCCGGCGGCGTGGGCTGCGCCCGCGGTTGCTGGCCTCAGCCCCGCCGAGGCGCCCCTCCACCCCCCACCCTGATACTCCAGCCCGCTCACTTTGCTGACCTGCCTGCCACTCATCTGCCTGGGCTCATCCGTCTGCCTCCCTGGTTTCTCTGGCCTACAGCGTGGGCGGCGTGCAGTCCCAGTCCATCACCGTGGACAGGCAGATGAGGCGGTACGATGTACCGCGGGTGGCCTTCATCAACAAGCTGGACCGGGTGAGTGCTGGCGGTGCCGGTGCTGCCCATGTCATGTGTGCGCATGCCATGCACATGCGTGTGTGAGTGTGTCCCATGGCACAGCGAGCCTCTGTCTTCTCCGGTCATGCCCCGCCGCCCTCACTCACACAATCACACACACCTTGCGAGCAGGCGGGCGCCGACCCCTGGAAGGTCATCCGCCAGATGCGGGAGAAGCTGCGCCTGAACGCGGCGGCGGTGCAGCTGCCCATCGGTTCGGAGGACTCGCTGCGGGTGCGGATCGCTGTGGGCCTTCCTGCAGCAGCTGCTCCTTGGCACTGCGTGCTGGCTTGGCTGGCTTGCTGGCCCCGCATGTGATGGATGCAACAGGCTGCGCAGCTGTGCCTGCCTGCCTGCCTGTTTGCCTACCTGCGTGCCTGCCCCTGCCACTGGTGCTGCTCCAGGGCCTGGTGGACCTGGTGGAGCGCCGCGCTTTCCACTTCGAGGGCAGCAGTGGCGAGAAGGTGGTGGGTAAGTGGGCCTACCGCGCCGCGCGCTGCAGTTGGAGAGGCCTGAGGGAGCGAACCGCTTCTGCCCAGTGTGTGTATCGCTGGGGCATTGGTGGGGGTGGTTGCCGCTGGATGTGACGCCCACGCCCCACGCACTACCCAACCACCCAACCGACCAACCCGCCTCCACCTGCCCCGACCGCCATCCCCCCTCCCTGCAGAGGTCCCGCTGTCGGCTGAGCTGAAGGAGGAGGTGGAGGCGAAGCGCGCGGAGCTGGTTGAGCATGTGGCGGAGGTGGACGAGGCCCTGGGGGAGCACTTTGTGCTGGAGGAGCCCATTGACGGCGGCATGCTGGCGGACGCGATACGCAGGTGGGCGCCACGCGGCGTTGGGCGTTGGGGAGCCCGAGCATGTGGGATGGCGTGGGCATGCGAGATGGGTCGGGTTGGTATGGGAGAGGCCTGGGAGGTGGGGGATGGGCGGAGCTGGATGTCGATACGCGATCAGCGGGATTGTCGAGCCGCCAGCACAGGCCGGCCACCGCAGGCCTGTGCTGCGCCTCAGCTTTGTGTGCCAGACCTGCATGCCGTCTGAACACCGTGTGTGCACGGCATCGTGCGCTGCAGGTCTGTGCTGGGCCTCAAGTTTGTGCCGGTCTTCATGGGCAGCGCCTTTAAGAACCGCGGAGTGCAGCTGCTGCTGGATGGCGTGTCGGGTGGGTGGCCTGCCGCCGCTGCCACCCTGGCTCTCGCCCCTGGCTCTCATCTCACGCGACCAGCCCCCGCAGCAGCCCATGCGAATGCCCGGGCTGCCTGCTTGCTCCGCACCACGCCTCTCTGCGTTGCCGATCAACACGCGCACACGCACACCACCACCACCACCACTACCATCATGCACACGTATACGCACGCTGTGCCCGCTCGCCTCCCCGCCCACTGCAGACTACCTGCCGTCCCCGCTGGATGTCAACAATTTCGCGCTGGATCTGGACAAGGGCGAGGAGCGGGTGCTGCTGCCGTGCAGCAAGTGAGCGGGAGGGGATGGCAGGGGCAGATGTTCGGGGTGTGGTGCTGCTGCCGTGCAGCATGCGGGCAGGAAGGCCTGGGAGGGGTGCCATGCGTTGGTTGTGGGGGGCATGCATACATCTGCCGGCCTCGCAAGGCATCCACATTCGTGTGTTTACCACAGCTTTCAGAAGCACCCCTCTCTCAGTACGTCGCTTCTCTGGCTGACCATGCGTGGTTGCTTGCTACCGCCACATTGTGCAGAACGGGCCCGCTGGTGGCGCTGGCCTTCAAGCTGGAGGAGGGGCGGTTTGGGCAGCTGACCTACATGCGCATCTACTCGGGTGGGCGGCGTGGCAGGCTGCTGTGCTGTGCTGTGCTGCCGCCTGCGACACCTCGGTGCCGTGGCATGTGATTGCGGTGCTGTGCTGCGAACATGTGTATCCAGCTGCCTCCCATGGTTGCCCTGAGGGCTTCCCCTCTTCCTGCCGCTGGCTGCACATCGCAGGCGTGGTGCGCAAGGGCGACAACATCGTGAACCAGACCAGCGGCAAGCGCATCAAGGTGCGGCACTGCCAGTTTACTCTTAACAAGGCTGCCTGCTACCGCCCGCCTGCTGGCCGCTCCCAAGCCTGCCTCCCTTGCACGTTATTGTGCCCTCCACCCACCTGCATCCACCCCATGCCTGCCACCGCGCCAGCTGCCTGCCTGCCGCGACCAAGCCGCCTTCCCATCTTCACCCACGCCTCTCCTGTGCAGGTGCCACGCCTGGTGCGCATGCACGCGGACGAGCTGGAGGACATCACAGAGGCGGCGGCAGGGGACATTGTGGCCATGTTTGGCGTGGAGTGCGCCTCTGGGGACACCTTCTGCGACGGGGCCACCACGTAGGTTCCGTGTGGGAAAGGAAGGGCTGGTGCATCGGCGTGTGGCGTGCTGGATGCACCTTGGGTGTGTGGTTGGGGTGTGTGTGTGCGGTCATCCCGCCGCCCCAACACAGAGGCGTTGTGACCTCCGGCCTGTGTGCCGCTTTGATTGGAACCTCACCCAATGGCTGCCACGTGGCACTCTCCCCTTGTGCAGGCTGGCCATGACGTCCATCTCCGTCCCCGAGCCGGTGATGAGCCTGGCGGTGGCGCCCAAGGCCAGGTGGGACGCCCTGTGCGGGCGCCGCAGCTGCTGCTGCCCTGGGCCAGGAGGGAAGCGTGCCGCATCCAGGCTCGCACCGTGGGCTGGCCACCCCATGCCCCACCCTATTGCCTGCCATCTCGCCTTGCGTCCACTGACTCCCACCTTGCTGCCGCACCGCCGCTGGCTGCAGGGATCAGAGCGCCAACTTCAGCAAGGCGCTTAACCGCTTCACCAAGGAGGACCCCACATTCAAGGTGAGGGGGTGGGCCTGGTTCGGGTCGGGAAGCTGCTGGGCAGCTGGTGGGCAGTGCCAGCGCCTGATTTCCAGGCCTGCTAGCCCGCTGCCGCAGCGAAGCTCCCTGTGCCCTGCCTTCCCCTTGGCTCAGCGCTCTGCCGCTGTCTCACGAGCCGGTGCTGTGACAGCCGCCTACCCTGTACTGCCTGTGCTGCATCCAGCGACACGTACCACATGTACCGCATGTACCGCAGGTGGCCATGGACCCGGAGAGTGGGCAGACCATCGTGAGCGGCATGGGCGAGCTGCACCTGGAGATCTACATAGAGCGCATGAAGCGGGAGTACAAGGTGTGCGCTGCATGTACCGCATGTACCGCCTGCATGTACCGCCTGCATGTACCGCCTGCATGCGCCGCCAAAGGAGCTGAGCCTACCCCTTCTGCTGCCGCTGCCTCCTGCTGAGGATGCCCGGCCGCTGTCGCTGCTGCTCCTCCCTTGGTTATACACGCCCTGCCAGCTTCCTCGCTGGTTCCCGACCCCCGTCCCGGCCGTGGCCCCGCCTGCTGCCCTGCCCACAGGTGGACTGCGAGGTGGGCAAGCCGCGGGTGAACTTCCGGGAGGCGGTGACACGGCGGGCGGAGTTTGACTACCTGCACAAGAAGCAGAGCGGCGGCCAGGGGCAGTACGGCCGGGTGACGGGATACCTGGAGCCGCTGCCGGGTGCGTGCGGGGAGGGCGGCGGCGTGTGTGGGCGTTTGCGCGTCTTTCTGTGTGTATGTGTTTGTGTGTGTGTGACACCACACTTCCTCGGCTTCACCGCGGCGACCCTGCCTCCACCTGCGCAGCTGACCACCCCACCAAGTTCGAGTTTGAAAACGGCATCCTGGGCAACGCCATTCCGCCCAACTTCATCCCCGCCTGCGAGAAGGGCTTCCGGGAGGCGGTGAATGCTGGGGCGCTCATCGGGCATCCGGTGGAGGTGCGTGGGTGTGAGGGCTGGGGGGGGGGGGGGGGGGCGGTGCTACTAATGACGCGGGTGTGGTTTGTTTTTTGAGCTGCTCCCGCCCCTCCCTGGGCCCCTTCCCCACATCCGCCGCTCCCTGCTGGCCCGAGCACCTGTTGCCCCTTGGCCCTTGCCCTGCTCGTCCTCCGCTGCTGCCTGCAGGGTGTGCGGGTGGTGCTGACCGACGGTGCGGCGCACGCGGTGGACTCGAGCGAACTGGCCTTCAAGCTGGCCTGCATGTTTGCATTCAAGTGAGCATGCTGGCCACGCTTGCCTGCACCCCGGGCCAAGCGAGGCTGCTCCAGGCTGTGTGCTCCCGCGCCAGCCTGCACTAAGATGCACGTCCAGCCCTGCCTGCACTCCTCGCTCCATCGCCGCCGTAATGCCTCCTGCCTGTCCATCTCTGCTCCCTGTCCTTGTCACTCCTCCCGCAGGCAGGGGTACGAGAAGGCGGCGCCCACAATCCTGGAGCCCATCATGAATGTGGAGGCGAGTGTGCGGTGGTGGTGTCGGGGCCACTGCTGCTGCTGCTGCCTCTGCGCCTGCTGGGCCCACTGGCGGCTTCTCTGCCCTCCCTTTCCTCCCTGAACGCCTCCTGGACTCCTCCCTGCCCCTGCCAACAAATAAAAACAATAATAATAAAATATAAACTGCCCTCAACTGCCCGCGCCTGCCTCCCAGCAGATCACCGCCCCCAGCGAGTTCCAGGGGAACATCATCGGAGACGTGAACAGGCGCAAGGGCATCATCATGAGCAGCGAGCAGGAGGGCGACGACGTGGTGATCAATGTGAGCGGGGAGGCTGGGGGCTGGGAGGGCCTGTGCGTGTGCGAGTGTGCGTGTGCTGCCGAGCGCGGCGCTGTGTGTGTGGAGTGCTGGGGGCGCTGTGCTGCCGAGCACTGACGGCTGGAGCTGCCCCGCCCGGCCCCGTTCTGCAGGCGCACGTGCCGCTGAACGAGATGTTTGGGTACTCCACAGGCCTGCGCAGCATGACGCAGGTGCGGCCCTGGCGGCCGTGCTGTGCCATGCTGTGCCTCGCCGTACTGTGCTGTGCCGCTGGCTGGTTGCTGCTGCGCAGCACACCGGGCTGCGGGAGTTGGGGGGGCACCTGCTGTGCTGCGCAATGACGTGATCATTTTTCTGGATCAAATGCTGGTGGCCCATGTGCCGTCCTTTCGGCGCCCCTTCGCTTTGGTGGTTATGTGTTGTGGCATGGTGTGTGGTGTGTGTGCAGGGCAAGGGCGAGTTTACAATGGAGTACCAGGCGCACATGCCGGTCACAGGTGGGCTTGGTAATGTGTGGGGGTGTGCAATAGCGGCTGGCCTGTGAATCGCCGGGTGCCGCGGGGTGGCATGACAGTGAAAGCCGCAAGGGCAGCAGAAGCATGGCGGCCAGTCGGCAGCGGAGCGGCCTTCAATGAGCTGGACGCCGGCCCGCCTGCTGCCTGCAGCCGACACCCAGGCGGAGCTGACCTCCCACTACCGCGCCGCACGTGCGGCAGGCAAGTCGTAGGCAAACATCACCGGCGACACCTTGACCCCAGCCTGCAGCAGCATCCAGCCTGCTCCTGCACCTTGACGCATGCCCGCTCGTGGCGGCCACTGGCACTGCGAATCTGATCTCCAAAGAGCCCCCACCCCCCCATGCGGTGGACCTAACCCACCCGATTTGCATGCGCCTCCCTCGGATTGTGGCAAATGCTCCCGTTCGCCCCTGCCTGAGCAAGGCGCCCGACCTCCGCTCCTTTCATTGCCTGCTTCCTTCAACTTATTCTCACGCATGCGAGAATGTGCGGCCTGTGTGCTGCTCCTCCCGTTGCACCCTAATCCTCTATCTTGTTTGTTGTTCAAAGTTTGATGCTGCTTTTCGCTTGACATTCAGGCTTAGGGCACACACGTGCCCAACATTGTGACTGCTCTCACTGTGCCTCAGGACACACCATGCCACACAGCACAGGCCATACGGCAGCCGATAAAATACTGCAACTTATGCCTCTGGCGGCGGCAGTGGTTCGGGCAGCCCCGCAGTCGCCTCAGGCTGCCAGCCATACTGCTGTAGCAGCGCAAGCGCGACGCCGTTTGTCCACCCAAAGCCGTCCACGCAGTCGTACTCGCCGCCGCCGCCTGGCGCGCCCAACCGCCGCGCATCAAACTTCTCAAAGTTGCGCCCACTCTGCTCCCAGCCGGCGTGGGCAGTTTCCAGATACTGCTGCGCCATGGCAGCTGCCAGCTGCACAGAGGAGTGGGGCAGCAGCAGGGCAGTCGTGGGCTGCCAGATCAGCAGCCAGGTAGGACGGCAGCAGCCACCTATGCGGCAGCGGCGTACAGCCAGCTCCGCCTGCCAGTCGCAAGAACATTGCGGCAGGCCTGCCTCACCTGGGCGCCTGCTTCTCCCCCATACTTCTGGCAGCCCTCCACTAGCATGCATGTGATGGGCGGCCACGCGTTTGGCCAGTCCCACTGTTGCCCCGTCTCCCGCAGGCTGACAGCCACCCCAGCCTCGCGGATCAGGCCCGAGCCGCGCAGCGACGCCACCGCGGCCGCCGCCTGCGCGCTGCCCGCAGCGGCACAGCCACAGTAGAGTGGCACCCAGTTGGAGGCCGCCAGCACTGGGCTCTGGCGGAAGCCGCCACTAGCAGCACTATACACAGGCTCCTCCTCCTCCTCCTCCTCCTCGCCGCCATCTGTCCCCGCAGAATCTTCGGCGCTGTCTGTTGCTGAATAGTCCTCGCTGCCTGCATCCTCATCCTCCGAATACTGTGCTGAAGCGTCTGTCGAAGCCTCGTCTGCTCCATCTGGTGCCCCCAGCACCAAGTCCCGCCATTGCCCAGACGCGTCATCCCACATCAAGGCCCGGATGGCCGCCAGCCGCTGCTTGGCCTGGTACACCAGGCCCGCAGCCAGGCCGTGGTAGCCCACTTCATCTGCAAAGGCTGCCATGTTGCTTTCCATCTGCAGCACAGCACAGCACAGCCGAGGGCCGGAAAGGAGCGGGACCTGAGAATCGCAGCTGCTTGCGCCATCGGCCGATGCCGCACCCGCCGCGCAGCACAGCCGCCTTCTGTCTCCACTCTGCGCCTGGCACCTGCACAGCACCCCTCAAATCACACCACACTCCACACTCTACCTGGTAGAGCAGAGCATTGAGGTCAGCCGGCACGACCCGCGTGGCGCGGCAGCTGCGCAGGCTGGTGCCGTCTGCCAGCCAGCGGGAGGAAAAGTCCCAGCCCGACTCGGCTGCAGTGGCCAGCTCCCGCCACAGCTGCGCCGCCGCCGCCGGGGCCAGGCCGTCTGCCGTCGCCACGTCCTCCCTGCACCGGGAGGGCAGGCAGGTCCCAGCGGCTTGGGTCAGGAGGTCCTCCTCTGAGATCAAGAGAAGAAGAGAACCGTCTACCGATCTGGCGGACGCGGTGTGCTGGGCAGCCGCCCGGCTTCAGCGTCAGTGGAGGGTGAGCGGGCAGGGAGGCCCAGCAACCAGCAGCGCACTAGACAGGCGGGCGCGTGGCGGCTGGGCAGGCCGGCGGCCAGCCAGCCTTGCCTGTATGATTCCGGCCGCGGCTTGTCCCACGCCGCATGGTACCGCGCCAGGCGGTACGTGCGGCCGTCCGCCCCTCGGAGCGCCACCTCCTTGGCCCCAGACATCCAGTAGTTGTGCTCTTGCCGGAAGGCCGCCAGCGCCCGCAGCAGCAGCGCTTCGTCCGGCGCCGCGGCGTGCAGCGCCGCCACCATCTGCGGCAGGAGGTGCATCAGGGTAGGGCTGGACTACGTGAGGAGATGCAAACGACGCCCGCACCGGCCCAGCCAGAACACGCAGGGGCAGCAGCAGCAAGCGCGGAAGGAGTGCGAGGAGCGGTGGCAGCAGGGGCGGCAGCAGGGGCATTTCTGTGTCTCCTTGTGCCACCAGCGCTGTGTTCACTCATTCCTGGCTTGCCTGGCTGAGCAGCGGGGGCTGGGAGCGGTGGAGGAAGTAGGAGCGGAGGCCGTTGGGCATGAAGCCGTGCTGCTCCACCATTCCCAACAGGTTGCTCACCACGCCCTGCAGGCCCAGCATGCACAGCATGCCGCCAGCACATGACATCAACTTCGCATGCCCGCGCGGCCAGGGCCGCTGCCGGGCGCGTTGTCGCAGGGGTGGGGTGCAGCATGCGCCGGCACGGCAGGCGCCGGCCCGCGGTGGCAGCCCCGAAGCCCAGCCAGGCTGCCCAAGCTTGCCTGCGCCATCTCCAGCAGGCCGCAGGCCAGCAGGCCCCGCACCGACCAAAAGGTATCCCAGTAGTATTGCTCCCTGAACCTGGCCCCCGGGATGACAAAGGGGCGCGGCTGAGGCGGCAGCAGCAGGGTGTGGCGGTCGGGGTGCGCCGCCACGTCAGGCGCTGCCTGCAGCGTGGCGCAGGGCGGCGTGAGGGCAAGGGCTGGCGCAGGTCGGGATGCGGGCTGATGAGAAAACAGTGGCCCAGCCCCAGATTGGCCTGAAGAAAGCGAGGTGGTCCCGCAGGCACGCAATGCCGCTGCGCCAGCCCGCCCCCCGTACCCACCTGGCGACACAATGAGCCCCACATGTGGAACAGGCTCTCCGCCCAGCGCCGGATGTCGGGTTGGGCGACCAGCGGCAGCCAGGCGGGCGGCGGGCCCGCCGCCAGCTGCGGCACCTCCGCCGGCTGCAGGTCCGACTCAACTGGCAGCAGCCAGCGCCTGCAGAACGTCTGCAGCGCCTCACGGTGCTTCTCGGGCTCTCCTGGCAGCTCCAGGGCCGCAAACGCTGCGGCGACTTGGGTGGGGGCCGCGGCAAGCGGCGTGTCCCTGCGGCAGCGTCGACGTTCGCGGCAGCTGGAGAGCAAGCAGCTGGAGCTCCAATACACCGCCTGCAAGTCCCGCCATGTACATGCACTTACACTAAGGTCTTGCTATCGGGAAACAGGCGGGCAGCCTGTGCAGCGTGCAGAAACGGCGCCATCAGGCCGGCGGTCCGCTGCTGCGGCGTCTCCTGCATGGCAGGTTGCATTGACGGGGTGCCGGGACTAAGACAAAAGTGCGATCAGGGTGTGTGAAGCAACATAGCCGCGGCGGACGTGTCACCCGATGGCAGCGGAAGCCCTACCAGCTGCCTGATCACCCCGTTCTGTTCTCCCGCGATTCCCTGCACGCTTCTCAATTGTCAGCAGCGCCTGTCGCGCGCCAGGAGCGGTTCGGCCTGGAGGTGCCCTGTGCGGGTTGCCCAGAAACGCCCAGGATGTCGCCAAGCGAAAAGGATGACCGCGTGAAGCAGTTCAAGGAATACGTGCAGGCCCTGAATAAACAGTTTTTGGAATGGGCCACCAAGCAGTGGGAGAGGAGCCCCACGCGCTTCTGGAGCACCGGCATGCAGGTGAGGAAGGCCTTGAAGGGCCGCATGGATCGTGCGGTGGCCCCAATTGGATAGGCGCTGCCCGCCGCGCGCCCGCTGCCCTTGCCGCTGCAACCCGCAACTCTGCTGAGCATGCTGCATGCTTTCCCTGCCTCGCTGGTTGCTCCAGGACTACCTGCGCACGGTTGCGAAAGTGCGGCGGGAGTTTAGCGATGTCCTGGCGGATGACGGTAAGGGGGTTGCGGATGTGTGGGCTAGTGGATACGTTGCCACTGAAAAGCCCGCTGCAGTAGCCACCCCCAAACCAGCATCCCCGGCAGGCCCTCTGCAAGCCTTCCTCCTGCTACCTCCCCGCCCACGCCCCGCAGACAACAACATCGGGCGCAACAGCGGGCAGACGACGCCGGGGGGCACGCCGCCGCCGCCACCGGGCAGCGAGAAGCAGCCGCCCAAGTACGAGCCGCAGCTGTCGCTCACGCCCTTCTGCAACACCAAGGTCATCCACTTCATTCGCCACGGGTGCGGCCGGGCCTCAAGGGGCCTGAGGACAAGCAGCCGGGGAGTCTGTTTGCGATACGGCGTGGGGGAAAGGCAGGCCAGGGTTGCTTGCCTGCTATGGGAGCAAGCGACTGGTCTCTTGCCTGCAAGCAGGTGTTGGCGTGGCAAAGGGCATGGTATACCCAGCGCAGCCAGTGGGGGGGTCACCAGCGCACGACTATGCCCTGCTCCCCTGCCCCTGCGAACGAGCCGTGCCCTTGGCCCCGCCGCCAGTCACCCCAACCGCCGCCACCTCCCCACTACCGCTCCCGCAGCGAGGGCTTCCACAACGTCGGCTACAGCCAGAACCTGGACGCGCGGCTGACGGAGCGGGGCTGGGACCAAGCGCACGCGCTGGGGCGCCACATGTACAGCCAGCAGCCCACGGCGGGGGTGCAGCTGGTGGTGGTCAGCCCCATGGCCCGCACGCTGGAGACGGCGGCGGGCATCTTTGGCATCGACCCCTCGCTCTGCGCCTTTGACCCGCCCACCATGCTCATGGCGGCCCAGGACGCGCAGTGGAAAGTGCGCACCGCGCACGGCGGCCTGTCGCTGCGCCCCGGGGTGAAGCTCGTGGCGCAGGAGCTCTGCCGGGAGCGGCTAGGTGCGCTCCGGGCGGCCGCGGGACGGCCCGCTGGGGAAGCGGCCGCCCCCCGCCGGAGCCGCAGTACGCCTCAGTGTGCAGTGCGCAGTACGCAGTACGCGGCTGCTCTTGTCGGCGTGCTGCTGAGCACGCATGCCTTGTGCTGCCTGCGCCTAAACTGGCCCTTGCTGTGCCAGGTCGCTGCTCCTTCCCTCCACGCCCTACCCCACCCCACCACAACTGCTGCCGCCACGCTCGCATGCACACATACACCGCCTCCTCGGCTGCTGCAGGCCCCTCGCAGTGTGACAAGCGGCAGGCCCTGGAGGACGCGCAGCGGCAGTTCCCCGGGGTAGACTTTAGGTGCGGGCTGCCGTGTGCCTCGCTGCCGCCCGCGCCGCTTGCTCCTCCTCCGCCGCCTGCATACATCATGCCGCTGCTGAGCGGGCAGGGTGTGGCCCGCTCTCCGTCCTGCCGCATGGCCGCTGCCGTGCGACCCAATGCTGTGCCTGCTTTGCCGTGCCGTGCGCTGCTGCTGCGCCATGCAGCTTGATAGAGAGCGAACTTGACCTGAGCTGGGAGGCGGGCAAGGTGGAAAGCGAGTCGCGCGTGGTGGTGCGTGGCTTCAACTTCCTGGCCTGGCTCATGCAGGTATTGGGTCTGGGAGGGGCCAGGCGGCGTGGGCAGGGAGGGGTGTAATTAGACGCCTGGGTTCCTGCGCAGCCTGCCGTGCCGTGCCGGGCTTTGCATGCCGTGCACGCTGTGCTGACCTGGCTGCCTCGATGCGGCCACATGCTTCCCTGCCGCAGCGGCCAGAGACCAACATAGCGGTGGTCACACACAGCGCCTTCCTCTGGTTCACGCTCACCTGCTTCGGCAACGAGGTGCGGCAGGGCGCCGCCAGGGCCTGCGTGCCTGCCGGGCGCTGGGCCTGTCCAGCTGTGTGCCTGCCCAGCAGGGCAAACGACTGCGTCAGGCGTTTGCAGCGGGCCTGGGTGGTTCCCAGCCAGCACTTTCTTCCTGCCTCCTGCCCCCTGCAGTTTGCCAAGCCTGTGCGGGAGAACCTGCAGCGGTGGTACGAGGTGGGTGGCGCTGTGGGCACGCCTGACTGCCTGCTTGTGGTCGCTGTGCGCCTCGTTGTGCTGCCAGCCACCGCGCTGGCTGGGCCGCCGGCTCTCCCTCCCTCTCACACTCCTGCCGCCCTGACAAGACCCGGGCCTGCCCGCCTCGCCCTCCCCTCTGCACAGAACTGCGAGATGCGGACGCTGGTTCTGAGCGACGGCGGCGGCATGGGGGTGCCCGACAAGACGTGGTTCCGCGGCGGCGAGGCGTATGCGGAGCCGCAGAAGGGGCTGCTGCCAAACGTCAAGGAGAAGGGCAAGGGGTCGCTGCTGTCGGCCATGCGGACGGCCTGGCAGGGCGGCGTGAAGAGCTCCAACTCGTGACCCCGCCCCCGCAGGATGCTAGCTTGACCCCGGCACAATGCCATTCCTTGCTACCGTGCTGGCCCCCACTCTTGACCAATCATTCACCGCTTGTGTTCTGCTGGAATTTTGGAAGGAAGTGTAGCAGCCAGTGACGCAAAGAGACAAGTGCTCACGCTGAACCCGGGCAGGGCCACAGGGTGCAAGTGGACAAGGTGGCACAGCTTTCTGCTGGGAGCTTGTGGGCCCAGCAGTGCTCTGCTGGCGGCGACGCGCTTCTCCGGCGCCAGCCTGGCGCCCACAGGTCAGCTCGGAAGACGCTGGCGGGCAGGTAGGCAGGCCTTGCAGCTACGTTGTTGCGATTACCGCTCCCAACTCCGAACCATCAGCCCGCCGGGCGAGTCCTGCCGGTTTGCCCCATGTTGCATCTCCATGCGGCACAGCCGCTGCTTGCCCCCCGACAGATATCTTCAGCTGTGCAGTGCTGACAGCCTCAACTCGATGCATGCTCTTACATGTCTTGCCTCCTTGATGATCACTGATGTGGACATTTTTAAAGCTGCGATGAGATCGTTTGTTGTGGCGTAGATACTTGAAAAATGCAGACAAAGTGGGAGATCACACACAGGCACAAAACTGAGGCAGGGAGCCCCACCACAGACAGTCCGCAAAGGGGCTGCTGCGCGCTGCTGCCAGCGAAAAAGCTGGGGCCGGCCTGCTGGGAAAAGGCAATGGTGGTTGGGGTCGGTGAGGGTGCCTATGATGGAAGAAAGAAATGAGACAGCTCATGAAACGTCAGGGGGGGGCGTGGCCAAGCGAAAACAAGGTTCCTGCATCCCAGCAGGAGCGAGGATGGTACAGCCTGGCAGGGCAGCACGTCATGAGCCGGATAGAGTTATACACGCCGCGCGCGAGACCGCAGCACGTGCTGCCAGCAAGGGTGGCTGGGGTCTCCTTGCTGTGGCCAGCAGCCTCCGTGTTGCTGCGGCTCAGCCGCCTGGGTCAGCCGCTGAGCAAGCGAGCGGTGGCAGCCGATGGCCAGCAGCGCCCCGCGGAGCACCGGCTGCTCAGAGGCTGGAGTGGTTGGGGTGCAGCAGCAGCACGGGCCGCTTGCTGTGCGTGGCGCAGAACTTGGACACCGAGCCCAGCAGCAGCTCCTCCAGAGGCCCCTTGTCATGGGAGGCCACCACCAGCGGGTCCGCCCCCAACTCTTCAGCCTTCTTGCACACCGCCTTGCCTATGTGCTTGTGCCTGCGCCGGGGGGGAGGGCACACAGGGATCACAGGGCATCAGGATCGTCCAGCAGCCCCAGCCCAGCACTCCCAAGGGCTGCAAAAACGGCAGACCGCAGCCAGGCCTGCCCGGCTGCTCCCGGCTGCTCCGTGTGGATGCTGCTGCTGGGCATGTCGCGACTCACACACGTGGGCCCCACCTGCGCTCCTTGACGAGGTGCAGATACACGCTGTCCTCCAGGCCGCACCCCTTGGCATGCTCGAGGAAGTTGTCCACAAAAAACTGCTTGGCCTGCTGCCACTGCAGGGACACGAGGGCGAGGGGCGGCGCGGCGGCGTGTCGGCGGCAAGGGCGGGCAGGCCGGGGCGGGCGGGCCGGCACCCTTCCAGGCCCCCGCAGCTCACCAGGAGGCGCTCGGTTTCGGGGTCTGGCGAGGAGCAGTAGTAGATGGAGCCGCTGGAGGGGCCGAAAAAGATGTCTGGCACGACGTGTAGCAGGTGCAGCTCGTCCTGGGGCTTCAGCAGGTTGTTCAGCACCCAGTTGAAGGCGGCCACCGAGTCCTGCAGGCAGGAGCGGGCATGCGTTTGGCTCGCGCCGTGCTGGCTCCCCTGTGCTGCCGCCGCCGCCACACCCAGCCGCCGCTGCCCACCTCGGTGGGGTCCACCGCCAGCACCACTCGTCTCGCATTGGCGTGCTGCTGCTGCTGTGGAGCCGCTCCAGCACTGCCAGCGCTGCTCAGCGCTTGGCAGCGAAGTGGCGCCCTTTGCCGCCCCGCCGATTTCGCTTCCCGGCTGCTTGCCAGCCCAAGCTGCAGGCTATGCACCGCCAGCGGAGCTGCCGGGAGGGCGTCTCGGTGCCGAAAGTTTGAGCGGCCCGCAACGGGTCTGAGCAGCACGTGTTGCGCTACTGCGGCTGCCATGGCGCTCTCCTGCTGCTCACAAAGATACAGATGCGAGTTTGCAAGGGGTTTGGGCAGCAGAATCCAGGATGACGTGCCTCGCCCAGCTGGCGGCGATCGGCGGCGCCTCCAGTGCTGTCGGGCACAAAACAGTGCATACAGTTTCCAGTTGAAGGTAGGAAACCAGAAGACAGTGAAGATCAGCAGGATCAGTCTATAAAGTCACCGACAGCCGTCTGAATGCTGCTGCCCTCGGCTGCTACCACCTCGCTCTCCGGCCCTGGTGGCGGCGCTGGCGCTTCTGCCGGCGCAGCCTCCTGCAGCGCCTCGAACTGATCCATGGTGTCCAGCTCTGCTGCCCGACGCTCTCCGCTGCCCGGGCCTGCAGCTGAGGCGGCGCAGGCCTCTGCCAGCTGGGCCGCCGCCAGCCCCTCCAGCACAGGCAGCGCCAGCGCCTGCACTTCCGCCTCCAGCGCCGCCAAGGGCACCACCTCAAACGCCAGCTGCGCCTGCGCCGCCGCCACCTCCTCCGCCTCGCGCTGCCGCAGCGCCCGCTCCGTCGCTTCGCGCTGCTGCCACACGCGCTCGCTCTCCAGCACCTCCTGCTGCTGCATGTATTGTGCCTGCATGATAAGTCACGCAAGGCGGGCATGTGGTGCTTCTTCTGGACCAAGACCCCGCCCATGGCTCTGTGCGTGCTTCCCTCAAATCCATCATGATCTGCCTAAGCATGCATGGCTGGCTCGGCTGCGCCCTCTCCCCTCCTGCATGCAAGAGCTACCCTCCACCAGCTGCTCCCCGCAGCAAGCTGCTCGCGCCACCAGCACCTGCACCTCACCTCCTCCACCTCTCGCATCCTGCGCCGCAGTGCCTCTACCCGCTGCTCCTCCGCCACCTCTGCCTGCGCTTGCTCTGCCAGCTGCTCGCTGGCAGGCACCGCATCGGCCTCCCAATCGCACAGGTTGGCTTGTGACACCTGGGTGCCGCTGTCGCAAACCAGCGGGACGGGCACCGCCCGCGGCGGCGGCAGCGGCGCCCTGGCAGAGTTCGTCTGGGTGCTGCAGCTGGCCTCCACAGGCATTGCCAGTGCCTCCAGGATGTCCGGCTCCGTCTGGCAGTCGCAGTGCGAGCGGCCCGGCACGGGCGGCGGCGAGCGGGCATGCGCGGGGCTGGCGTTGGACGAATGCTTGCGCCGCAGCCTGCAGCAAGAGAGGTGGGGCACAGCGCTGTGGTACAATGTTGTGGCTGTGTGTGTCGCTATCCAGGCACTGGGGCCTGGCCTTGCCTGGGCTTGGGGCTGCTGCTGCTGCCCTCTGCTCTGCTCGCTGCCCTGCCGCCGCCGCCGTTGGTGGGCGGCAGGTCCAGCTCAAGTGTGACCACTCTGAGTGTCGTAGGCGCCGGCGGTCCCCTGCGCTGCTGTTCCCCAGCCATGCTAGGCTTGCAGAGGGGCGAGGAGCGCGCCGGGCGCAGGTCAAGCAGTCAGCAAAGGGAGATGCCAAACGCCTGGGGGCAGGTCCAGGTCCAAACAGGCCAAGGCAGCCGTCAGCAAGTGGGGAGGATTGAGAGGGGCTGGCAAGGCCGGCGGGAGGTGGTGGAAAGGCCAGCCGCCGAAAACGTTTGCAATTCAGTGCTGGGCGGGGCATCATTCATTCTGCCATTGAAACCCGAACTTTACACCTGCATACTGCATCCCAAAGCGGCTGTAGCTCTCCGTGCAGAGCAGCTGTCTTTGCCGGCGAGCGCACAAACCATGCAGACAACCATCACCGCACAGGCCCTGCTGCCTGCGCAGCAGCGGGTACAGCGGCCCACGATGCGGGTGCAGCACCGGCAGACTGCATGCCTGGGCCCCCAGGTGCGCCATCAAAGTGGCCGCCGCCTGCATGCTGGACCCGCAGGACTCTTCCAAACGTGTGCCTTGCTCCTGCAGGTGTCTGGCATGGCCGTGGCGCACCGCCGCGCCAGGCGCGCCGCAGCCCCCAGGAGTGCCAGCCTGCAAGGTGTGATGCTGTTCCCAACAGCACGTGTTCTGCCAGTGCCGTCCGCCCGCCTGATCCGGGGCTGGGCACCCCGATGGCAGGGTCGACAGGGTGCCCACCTCGGGTTTACGCCCAGGCACCCGGGCTCCCTGCCGCCGCCGCCGCCGCCACACCGCCGCCTCCTCCCTCGCCCGCCCGCCCGCCCCGCAGTCGTGGCTGTGGCCTCCGACGCCCCCAAGCCCACCATCCTGGTGGCGGAGAAGCTGGGTGCTGGCGGCGTGGAGATGTTGAAGGAGGTGGGCACCGTGGACTGCAGCTACGACATGACCAACGACGAGCTGCTGGCCAAGATCAGCCTGGTGGACGCAATCGTCATCCGCTCCGCCACCAAGGTGCGCCACGCGCGCCTCGGCAGCGATTGGTATCTGACTGGCGCTGCCAGCGGTGACCGTAGAGGCAGGCAACGCGAGGGGTGGGGGCGAGGCGCATGCGTGCGCACGCGGCCATCGGCGGCGACAGCGAGGCGGAATTTGCTGGCACGCCGGGATTGGTCGTTCCTTTTTGTAATCCATCGATCAGCACAGCAGCTCTCCTTCCCATGTGGCCGCCCAAACCTCTCGCATCTGGCCGCCCAGCCTCTTCCCTTCCTCTCCCCACCTTTTCCCATCCAGCCCCCACTCACTCCTGCCCGCCCCGCTCTCACCGCCACCCTGTCCCGCCTCCCCGCCTCCCATCCCCCGCAGGTCACCCGCGAGGTGTTTGAGGCCTCCAAGGGCCGCCTCAAGGTGGTGGGCCGCGCCGGGGTGGGCATCGACAACGTCGACCTCGCAGCCGCCTCGGAGATGGGCTGCCTGGGTGCGCACTGCCTGGCCTGCTGCGTACATGAAGTTCCATGTTGCAGCCGCGCGGCGGCAGCGACGATTGCTGGCGGCAGAGAGGGGGGAGGATGCAGGGGGCGGGGTGAAGGGGCTGGAGGCGCTGGCGCCGCGACGTGTGTGCAGCTGGCTGGCGCAGCTGGCTGGCCGCAGGAGAGGAGTGGACACCAGTGCAGGCGGCGCCGGCTGCACGGGCGTGGTGCTGACCTGGGGTCTGCTGCCCCATGCCGCTGCAGTGGTGAACGCTCCCACCGCCAACACCGTGGCCGCCGCCGAGCACGGCATTGCGCTGCTGTGCGCCCTGGCCCGCAACGTGCCCCAGGTCGGTGCCTGCCGCAGGCGGCTCGCTCCCGGCTGGCCCTTCCGGCAGCCCGGTGTGCTGCCTCCTGGGCTGGCGCTAGCACTAGCTCACTCTGCCCGCTTGGGGGCCCGGCTGTCGGCCCGGCCCCGGCTGCCGTGCCGCATGCGCCCTGCCCTGCTGCGGCTCGCGTCGCCCCAACCCCGCCCCCGCTGCACACCACCTGTCTCCTCACTGCAGGCTGACGCCGCCATGAAGGGCGGCCGGTGGGAGCGCAGCAAGTGGGTGGGCGTCAGCATGGTGGGCAAGACGCTGGCGGTGATGGGCTTTGGAAAGGTCGGGTCTGAGGTGGCACGCCGCGCCAAGGGTGAGCGCGTGGCTGCGGTGCTGGTGCAGCCTGTCCCGCCTGCCCGCTGCTGCGCACCTGGCTATCCATGCCTGCCGCTGCTGTGGCCCCGAGTCGTCGCCAGCCTGGTGGTTGCTGTGGTTGCTCCCACCGGGCCCACCCCAGGCCCAACCACATCTCACGCTCCACCCCTGCCCTGCCGTCCTTTCCTCCCCTGCGCAGGCCTGGGCATGGCTGTGGTGGCTTACGACCCGTACGCCTCCCAGGAGAAGGCGGCAGCGCTGGGCGTGAAGCTGGTGACCCTGGACGAGGCGCTGGCGCAGGTGGGCGGCGCCGGCAGTACCATCGCGACAGTACCGCTGCCCTGGGGTGCCGGTGTACTGCAGCCTGCCCTGGGCAGCAGCGGCTGCGTAACACCGTCGTGGGGGCAGCAGCATGCTGGACGTGGCCGCCTGCCCCGCTGGCCGACCCCCTCGCCGTGGTAACTCACAGCCCCAGCCCCGCCCATGCCCTGCCTCTCCGCAGGGCGACTTCTTCTCGCTGCACACCCCGCTGACGCCCAACACCAAGGGCATGTTCAACGACGAGCTCTTCGCAAAGGTGGGCCGCCGCCTCGGGCGCGAACGCAGCACATTCGTTATTTATAAAGAGTGTTGTCGCCGCCTTGTTTCCTGGGCCCCTGCCCAGTACCTCCTGTGCCTGCTGGCCTCCCACGCCGCTCCGCCACCGCTGCCGGAGCGCCCCTCCCGCCCCCGCCCACCTCCCGGCGCTCCCCGGCGGGCCCCTTTCCCACCGCTGCCACCCCCTTTCCCAACGCCGCCACGCCTGCAGATGAAGAAGGGCGCCCGCATCGTGAATGTGGCGCGCGGCGGCGTGATTGACGACGACGCGCTCAAGCGCGCGCTGGATGCCGGCATCGTGGCCGGGGCTGCGCTTGATGTGTTCTCTACCGAGCCGCCGCCGGAGGGTGCGCGGGTGGCGGCTGGGGCTCGGGGGAGGCTGTGTGTGTGTCTGTGCGTTCGCGGGTGTGGGCAAGGTCTGGTTGGTGGGGAGGCGGGCTGGCACTGGCGGAGGCAGGCGGGCTCGGCACAGAGGTTGTTGGGAGCAGGAGCGGCAGCAAGCCGCCGTGCCCTCTCTGCCTCTCCCCCTGTACCCCCTCTCCCGTGTCGCCCGCTCTGCCCGGCATCCAGCTGCTGTGCTTCGACCCTGCACCGCCCTGCTCCGGCCCCAGAACCCGCTTCATCCTGCCTGCCCTGCCCTGCCCTGCCTCCTCCCCGCCTCGCCCCTCCCGCAGACAACCCGCTGGTTAGCCACCCGGCCGTCATCTGCACCCCCCACCTGGGCGCCTCCACCAAGGAGGCGCAGGAGGAGGTTGCGTACGAGATTGCAGAAGCCGTCATCTCTGCCCTCAACGTGAGGGGGAGGGCCGCCGAGTGTGGGCGGTGCGGAGTTGTGTGTGGTGTGGGGATGGAGGCACGGGCGCCGTCGTCAGTGGCTGCTGCTGCTGCTCAAGCAGCACCGTCTCGCCCCTCCCCAACCTCTGGCCTGGCCCGCTGCCGTGCCCAGTCCCGGCCCCTCGGTCCCGACGCCTCAGCCCGGGGCCTGCGCCGCCGCCCTGCGCGCCTGCCGCGCGTCCATTCTCCCTCCCTCCAGCCTCTTCTCACGCCGCCGCCGCTCCCCACCGCTCCCCGCCGCCTCCCCGCCTGCCTCCCCCGCAGGGCGAGCTGACCCCCAGCTGCGTCAACGCCCCCATGGTGGCCCCCGAGGTCCTCAAGGAGCTGCAGCCATTTGTGGCGCTGGCCGACGGGCTGGGACGCGCGGCGGTGCAGTTGGTGCAGGACTCGGGCTTCGCCGACGTCTTCATCACCTACCACTCCCCCCGCGGCGACGACCTGGACACCCGCCTGCTGCGCGCCATGGTGGTCAAGGGCATGCTGGAGCAGATCACCACCAGCCAGGTGGGCCGGGGGCAGCCAGGGGGGCACGCAGGGCGCCGGCGCCGGGCGGGCGGGCCGGGTGCGCGCCGGGTGGTGATC